TTTACCGACAGTGGGAAAAATAAATACTATATAGCCTGTATAGTTCACGGTGACTGCACTTTCCATGCAACCCCCAAATCCCCAGGCTTACTACCACCCCACCTCCAATTTTGTCCGGTCCTGGTAAATATAGGTAGTAAAAATTGACAGGTTCGAGTAAAAGTAAAACGCTGGTCCCTCGTTCGGAAGACCTAGGTTTGATTCCGCAGTAATTTGTGTGTGTTGGTGGAGTAACATTCTTACTTGTACACTTCCAACCCTAAAAAATAGTAAATATAGACAGAACGTACAGACATATTCTAAGAGTTAATGGGAGAGGCGTGATTGATTCCATGTGCCGAGTGATGTATTAGACGTCAAACTGGTTCAGTAAGTTCAGTAAACATTGTTTTAAACCGAGCTTATCGTTATCAATAAAACACCTGTGATGCTGTCATAGTAGTAGGATGAATACACGCTATCATTTCCTGTCTTAATAGATAAGTTTTCCACTTTAAAAAAAAAAATCCGCTAAAAAAAAATATTGCTTTCTGTATGGATACGGGATATGGATGTCAAAGCAGCGGACCATCATGCTAGGATAACCTCAAGGTCACCGTTGTCACTTGTACTATTTGATGTGTACACACAAAGGGTCACAGGCATCCAGAATGTGGGACTGGGGCCCGCTGTCATTTGATAGCAAGGGGCTGACGTACAGGCAGGGTACAAACTATGTGAGGAATCAGAGCCCAGAGTTAACCCACCTGAAGCTACAGCGACATTTACAGATTTTGGCAAAGGAAGTGGGGCGAGGATAAATATGAATAAATCTTACATCATGGGACTGGGCAAGTGGAGGAATAAAACTGATTTTCCCCCTGATCTTAAAGCATCCGAAACTGTTAAACTATATGGTATCACTTTTCCAAACCATCCTGACAGATTTAACGACCACAATTGGACAGAGTTAGCCCAGTCTATCAAAAAGAAACTAACAAGATACAAATACTTCAGCTCCGCAACATTCACAAGAAGTCAGATAGTAAATACGTTCATCATACCTAAAATCCTGTACATAACCACAGTTTTAGACCCACCAAGAGAAGTCATTAGCAAAATAAATACTGCCATTAGACATTTTGTCTTCAGATCATCCATCCCATGTATCAAACAAAATACACTAATTCAATCAAAAGAACAGGGAGGCATTGATTTACAAGACACCAAAACAAAAATAAAATCATTAAGAATAAAACATGTAGCACAAATAATTAACTCCCCAGAAAAATATCCTCTGTCCATGTATTATATAGCAGTCAGACTAAATTATATAAAAAAGATAGATAATAGCAGTCCTCATTACTTTGGCAGTCTGCCCCCATATTACAAAACATGCATTCAAAGTATAAAGGGCAATGAGAGTATAATACAAAATTCTACTAAACAGATATACAAACATTTGGTCACCAAACTAGCTCCCCCATTATCAATCAGAATTACAAGGAGTCAACAGTATAATGTAACAGACTTTTCTGAAATTTTCAAAAACTTACACAAACCACAAATTTCACCAACAGCAAAGGAAGTGACCTATAGATTGATATTTAACATGACACTAACTAGACACAAACTGGCAATTTTGGTACCATGTCAGCTGTGTCAACAAAACCTGCATGAGACAGAAGAACACATCTTTTTTACATGTCCAATAATACAAGCCTCTCTCCAAACTCTACAGATTATTTTAGACACCTATACCAAACAAAACACTGATGTATACAAAGCAATATTTCTAAATATTATCCCTAAAACTAATACTGACAAATTTGAAGAACTTTTAGCAGCAGTAGCAAACTATAGAGTACTAATATGGCAGTGCAGATGCAAAGCAGTCCATAGAAAAACTAACTACACTAGTAACACAATTTTACACCAATACAAATCCATCATTGATAAGATTTTTCGATAAATAATTAAATGTCAACCTGAGTCTACAATTACAAATAAATGAAAAGTTGTGCACCTCATTTTATTTTATATTTGATTATGTCAAATTTGCATTTAAGTGTAAACACACTTCAATTTACAGTAAGTAACTGTAAAGATTATTTTGTTAAATTGAAATGCATACAAAGTTATCTCAAATACAGTAAGAAACTGTAAAGTATGTGTTTGTATTTATAATGCCATGCATGTTAAAAGATTTTTACACAAACACACATTATACAAACAAACGGCAACATTTGTAATCAAACACGTACAAAAATACCTACAAAGCAAAACATGCAAACACTACACTGAACACACACGATTTGGAAAAAAAAAAAATACAGCGACATGGTTCTCACTAAGCAACAGTGTTGTTCACCATTTGCACCTTTTCCTTCACTTTAAAGAGGGAGCTGCGTGGTCTCTAGGCATGGCGTCCTTCTCAAGTGCTAGAGGTTCCAGGTTCAATCCCCAGTAAGGGCTGGGATTTTTTTTCACGTGTACTTGGACTTCTAGTAATTCCCCCTGGTCTCTGGGATGCGCACGTAAAAAAATCTCTTGGCAGTTGGAAATCGAAAGGAGTAGCCTAACGGCGCTACCCGAGCAAAATTTGGAGTAAAATATCTATCCAAAGTATTTCAGTATCCTCGCCGGTGCCTCAGAGCCTGTGCACTGTGCTGAGCTTCTTCGGACTCAGACGAGTTAAAAGAAGAACGGAGCACTTATGGGTTACTATTTGTGTGCCTTGATATTGATCCGTTGTTCAAAACCTCAAACCTCTTCACTTTAAAGAAAGAATGATACAGTGCTAACATTCATTAACCGGTCCTGCGCATAAAAGAAAGAATACTGTGGTATGCCAGAATCATCACTGAGTGGCTTAGGAAGAGAATTTAAAAAAAAAAAACTTTACCGCAACCAGAGGAAGAAACGACACTTGCGTTGAATGGGACACACAGATGAGAAAGTCAAACAGTGTTGTAACTAGAATACAATTTCACTGGAACTTTCAATGGGGGGGGGGGGATGGAAGGAGATCTAAAACACAGTGAAGCGAACGCAGGACAATTTTAAAAGTATGGGGAAAGAAGGAGAAAGGGGGGGGGGGGGGTGTTAGTGACACAGTGGGTTTTCATTATGCATATGTGCCACCAGCGGGTATGACAGAGTCATTCAGCACGCAGAGCGATCAGTCATTCATGGTCCATGCATAATTTAGCAAAAGTACTGCACGCACTCTAGACATGACTTCCAAGAGACTGGGAATTTGTCGGTCACGTGAACAACAGTTTAGCAGATGTTCCAGGCCGTGTCTGCCTGGGTTGATAATCGCGGACGTGTAGATTCCGGCACTGTCACTCGAGTGGCCAACAGGCGACGATAATGGCGGCATTTCCCACCAATTATCTCCAGGCATTGGGCTCGCCGTTGTTATAGATCATCGGTTCTCAGCCTGCTGGTCGCGGGCCTTTTTTTTTTTTTTTGGTCGAACGATCGTTTCACAGGGGTCGCCTAGGACCATCGGAAAACACATATTCATTGAAGTTATGAAGCAACAATAATTGTTTAAGGGTCGCCACAACATGCGGGAACTGTATTAAAGGGTCGGGTATCAAGAAGGTTGAGATCCACTGTTATAGAAGTTACTGCTTCTAGTGTATGGAGTGTCAAAACCTGGGAGCTTCGGCGCCTTTAGATCCCCAACCTTCTTTTTTTTTTAAAGAATAAATGTAGAGGGAGCTCAGGTCAGTGGCGAGACTTGATCAATTCATATGTGTAAGCGTTAGTATGTAACTATTACACTATAGAGGGTATTATGTGATATTTTCCTCCTACTCGCTTATCTGGTGAGAGTATGCGCGCACAGCAAGCGTCGCAACACTGGTAACTGGTAGCTTTCACACATTAGGTGTTTGAATGAGTGGTATAAGCATTCAGCGAGCGTTCTATCTGCTGTGTTCGACATGTAAGCTCAGTGGTGTAATTGTAATAAATAGTTAACTAATGATTAATAGTAAAATAATGTGTTTGTGTTTTGGAATAGAAAAATATGAGCGGCAGTTTCAGCCGTTACATGCAGTCCCGCCACTGATAAAGATGTTTCTGCATGATGCCAGACTGTCTAATGTCGTCTTTTCTGGCCTCCCCCCCCCCCCTTGCTTCTCTTTCCCATTCTTCTTCCCCGTTGTTATTATGTACTCTAGTTATCCTGTTCATTTGATGTGCTAAATTAATGTGGGTACTTTTTGGCTTTTTCACCCCCATCTCGTCGGCTACGAGATTTAGTTGGGAATTCCTAGGTAATTCCCCAGAGGTCATATAGTATGGGGGGGGGGTATAGGTTGGGGTTAGTTTCCTCTTGTTCTTCTTCTTTTGTTCGCCCAAAACAGATTATATGTACCTGCAATGTCATCACTAATATGAACTTCATTGTATTATGTAATTCACTAAGCGACCCATAAAGTTCAGCTTGAACTGGTTTTTCTCTTATGCAAATATTAGGAAGAATGATGGGAATTCGGGGTATTTTGGGCTTGGCCCTGAAAAGGGCCATCTTGGGGCGGAGGGCCCTGAAAGGGAACACCCGTCTCCATATTTGCTTACTCGTCAGTTAGGGTTAGAGTTAGATGTCAAAATGCTGACAGGTCAAGGAAATTCACGACCACGGCGAAGTAAGAACACTGCTTGCAGACAGGGCACAGTGATTGAGGCAAATGCACACTAGAAAGGACGATCACAATAAACGATGAACACGCTGAAAACAGCCAACACATGATACCATAGAACATAGTAAGTTTAGTGTCCTAGTCCTAGAGTTACTGTTAAATGAACACCAACTAACACTGACCCCCCCCCCCCCCCCACTCTCCCTTTCGTACTGTAGGACTTTCTGGGGAACTAGCTAAGAATTCCCTAGCTAGTCTTACAGCCGACGAGATGGAGTGAGAAAGCTGAAAAGGACCTTTATGTTTATTACCTATTACCCTACCAGGAATTATATTATCTCATTGTCATTTTATTTTCAATAGAAAAACTGTTGAATTCAACTGGCAGGGAACTGAGGAGAGCTTTATTTTCACTGAAACAGATCTTTCAGGTGAATATCGTTATTGTTATTATTTATCATTGTCGTGGCTTTTATCATCAACATCATCATTAGCTCCACTGTTATCTTCATCATTACCATTATCAGTAACATCATCATTATTGTTGTTGTAAAAATCATTGTCATAATAATTAACATCATCATCATCAGTAATTAAAAAGATAACTTGAGGGAGAGGAAAGAACCTCACCTCTCTCACAGATTTTCTAGATTTGGTCCAAGGAGCTTACAGATTTCAGCGCCTCTGGGGACTTACCTCTTTTAAGAGTGTGTATTGCCTCATTCATTTCTTTTAACTATCATCGTGTAGCAGGTACTTTACAGAGATTCACTTTCTAACATTTGCCTGAAAGAAACATGATCTCTCACCAGATCACTGTCTGATCATGATCCACCTTGTGCACATTTCTGTCCAAGATATCACTTTTACCATGTGTCCATCTTTATGCTGGTCACCCCCTGCCCCGTTTTTCTGGCACTGTGTGCCTTCTGTTGCTATTCTTTCCAGTCCACCATGGCGCTTAATATGCCAAAATATTTCAGTTTCCAAGCAAGGTGCTGTTTGCTAGCCAATCTTCCTTGGTGTTCAGACTTTTTAAGATGTTAGTATTTCTTTTCTGTTTGATCTGTGGTATTCTAAGAATATTTCTATAGCATTTCAACTAAGAAGCTCCTATTTTTCTTCCTCATTAACTGTGAGGATTGTCCACATCTATGTGTTGCTACAGGGAAGATGCATGCCCTCGAAATTTTAACATTGATTTTCTTGCTGGCACATAACAATAGACATTAAATGCATTTTTAACATGTAAACTATCTCATTTAAAATTCCTTTATTTTCATGCATGGTCGTAATTACTGTGCTTTATCAGACTGTTTTTTTTTTATCTGTATAAATTACACAACATTCTCTTTATTGTCTCATCACAACTGACTTCTTATTGACCAAAGATTTTTGTTTGTATCATATGTGTATCTAGCATGACAGTTATCCTGGATAGTTATTGGTTTTTTAGAACAACTACCAATGCAGACGCTACACATGAAAAGATCTCAAGTGAAAGAAAAAGGCTGTCCTAGGAGAAAATGGATTCATGACATTAAAGAGCTTCTACACCAAAACAGAATGACCATAGCCATTGCTGCCCATCAAACAATGGATCACAGACTGTTCCTCCCCACATCACTTAATGGCAGAAGTGGACAGTTGATGTTGATGATGTTAATGTTTTTATTACATGGTCTAAATGTCTCAAAACCTGACACAACTGTAAAGTTGTGTTTTAACACCTACCATTATACATTTTAAAGTTATATTGTTATCATGTTTTCTAAAGCTATTAAACGTCAATGTCTTTTCTTCACCACTTGATTCCCTGGAATTTATTTAGTTCTCTCTGAAAGCTCTACATTAACAATTCTGTCATACCATTTAATTCCTTCCATACCACTATAAAGGGATAATGTCTCCAAATCTACTACTGTAAGAATTGTATTGTCTCAAAACCTACCACTGTAAAGGTGTAATGTCTCAAAATCTACTACTGTAAGAATTGTATTGTCTCAAAACCTACCACTGTAAAGGTGTAATGTCTCAAAACCTACCACTGTAAAGGTGTAATGTCTCAAAACCTACCACTGTAAAGGTGTAATGTCTCAATATCTACCACTGTAAAGGTGTAATGTCTCAAAATCTACCACTGTAAAGGTGTAATGTCTCAAAACCTACCACTGTAAAGGTGTAATGTCTCAAAATCTACCACTGTAAAGGTGTAATGTCTCAAAATCTACCACTGTAAAGGTGTAATGTCTCAAAATCTACTACTGTAAGAATTGTATTGTCTCAAAACCTACCACTGTAAAGGTGTAATGTCTCAAAATCTACTACTGTAAGAATTGTATTGTCTCAAAACCTACCACTGTAAAGGTGTAATGTCTCAAAACCTACCACTGTAAAGGTGTAATGTCTCAAAAACTGTAAAGGTACCACTGTAAAGGTGTAATGTCTCAAAACCTACCACTGTAAAGGTGTAATGTCTCAAAATCTACCACTGTAAAGGTGTAATGTCTCAAAATCTACCACTGTAAAGGTGTAATGTCTCAAAACCTACCACTGTAAAGGTGTAATGTCTCAAAATCTACCACTGTAAAGGTGTAATGTCTCAAAATCTACCACTGTAAAGGTGTAATGTCTCAAAATCTACTACTGTAAGAATTGTATTGTCTCAAAACCTACCACTGTAAAGGTGTAATGTCTCAAAATCTACTACTGTAAGAATTGTATTGTCTCAAAACCTACCACTATAAAGGGATAATGTCTCCAAATCTACTACTGTAAGAATTGTATTGTCTCAAAACCTACCACTGTAAAGGTGTAATGTCTCAAAACCTACCACTGTAAAGGTGTAATGTCTCAAAACCTACCACTGTAAAGGTGTAATGTCTCAAAATCTACCACTGTAAAGGTGTAATGTCTCAAAATCTACCACTGTAAAGGTGTAATGTCTCAAAACCTACCACTGTAAAGGTGTAATGTCTCAAAATCTACCACTGTAAAGGTGTAATGTCTCAAAATCTACCACTGTAAAGGTGTAATGTCTCAAAATCTACCACTGCAAAGGTGTAATGTCTCAAAATCTACCACTGTAACAATTGTATTGTCTCAAAACCTACCACTGTAAAGGTGTAATGTCTCACAACCTAGTTTATGATTATTTGCCATGTTTAGGATGACAAGGATCTTGTCCATGAGTTTGTCAACAATGACGGCCTTGACTGCCTCATCAAAGTGGGTACAGAAGCAGACCAGAACTATCAGAACTACATACTCAGGGGTAAGTGTTCAAATCTTTTACTGATCACAGTTGATGGTAAGAACAACATGCTTTAGGACAATTTCTCAATCCTAGATAACATTCTGAACTTTTCATGAGTAATTCAAATATTTAAATAAACTCAGAATATGTATGTGAACTCATTGAAGACAAGTGAATTACTCTGCTACTCCTCCACTTTTTCTTCTTTGTCTCCTCCTCCTTCTCCTCCTTCTCCTCCTTCTTCCTCTTCTTCTTCTTCTTCTTCTTTTTCTTCTTCTTCATCTTCTTCTTCTTCTTTCCCTTTTTCTTCTTCTTCTCCTTCTTTTTCTTCTATTTCTTCTTCTTCTACTGCTCATTCTTCTTGTCCTTCTCATTCTCCTCCTCCTCCTCCCTCAGTGGAGCTTAGATCTTTGGCCAACTCACACGTTTTATATTTTTTTGCTCTGTCACACACAACTCACACCATGTCCTCCCTATCTTTTTCACTTCACTCTTTGCTTCCATTCTGCATGTGGTTTTTTTGTTTTTTTTTTCAGTCTGCTTTTTTCTTTTCAGGCCTTTAAAACTGTGGGTTCCAGTGCAAAGACATTCTTTTGCTCACCACTTGTTTTATTGGAATTTGTTTCTGTATGAACGTGAGACATGCACAGTTAGAGGACAAGCAGGAAAACACCTACTGGTAGTGAAGATGTGGTTTTTGAGAAGAATGCAATCATGGAGTGATAGAAACATAAACAAGACAGTCCTCTTGGAGATAGATGGAAACCACAAACTGATTAGAAAAATTAGATATCAAGTCAGAGTTTTTTTTTTTTTTTTTAAACATAATGGGAATGAATGCAATCAAGAACTTGGTAACAACTGGCAAAATTGATGGGATGAAGAGCAAGGGGAAGGCAAAGAGATCAATATCAGGATGTCTTGGTTGTATGCATGAGATGAAATGGAAGCACTGACCTGATCCTTGATTCTGGTGATCATATATGAGTTGGTAAAACATGACCACCTACACTTATTGGCAGGGAAATTGATGATGATGATTTTGCACATTGTGAAATGTGTAGCTGATGACTATCAAATAGTTTAAACTACATTTTCAGGTTGTTTATAACAGTTAATTACAGTTAAAGATTTGAACTACATCTGTGGATGTTCACTTGTAGATGTTCACTTGTAGGTGTTGAAGCTATTCATTTGTTTACTTTATTCTACAGCTTTGGGGCAAGTTATGTTGTATGTGGACGGGATGGAAGGAGTTATACGACACAATGCAACTGTACAATGGCTTTACTCTCTTCTTGGCTCCAAGGTATTATATGTGTACTCCCATAAAAGACTTACAAATTATTCAATATTAACTCTTTTGGTGCCATGAGATTTCACAGCAGATACTTTCAGCAAGAGCTGTTATGGAAAATAACATGTGTAGTGCATTTAAACAGATTTAATGTATACTATTAAATTATAAAATGTAATGTTGCCTATGATGAGGTGGTTGGACACACTGAGAAGTGGCAGTTGTATGATATCATACTTAGCTTTAGACAGAAAGAAGGATTCATCTGAAAATTTTAACTCATGCTATTCCAGCCAAATGATTTGCCCTTGTTATCTTTGAGAACTTACTTAAGAGGTTTCAGATTTGTTCACTCTATATAGTTAATTTCCATGAGAATCTTGTCTTTAGTTTCTTCTATCCTTTGTTTCTCTCTTGTCATTTCTTAACCTCATCTTAATAGTATGCTTTTAAAATTTCACTTTCTCATGCTTCTGGAATTGTTTTGATCAGCATAGAATAGGATGGCTCAGTTCATCTACGCACCTGACAACATTAATATAGTTGTCTCTAATTAAAATTGCATATTCTCTACATATTTGGTTTACCTATTCTAACATTTATATTGTATGGTGTTATTAGGCAGTTTTATGTTCAGACTTTTTCTATAGCTTCTAAACAGTACATTGCTCATATTTTTGTCACGCTGTCTTACAGTCAAATAATCTGCAGCTGACTTCAAACTCCACTATGTCAGGCTTGTAAAACTACATCCATCACCCCTACAGACACTGATACAGTCTTAGCACACTCCAGTAATTACTTTAACTTTCTCTGAGTCTTTCTGTCCCAAATAATTCTACTTTAAAGCACTTATTGTTTGTCCCAAGAATAAAAAATAATAACACTTTGTGAGGGAAGGAAAAAAATTGACTTCAGCCCCTGCCAGTAAGGTGCCCATAGGTTAGCAGATAGAACAAGGCAGCGATCTTAATGTTACATGTCTTTCTTTCTTCTTTTTCCTCTTCTTCTCTTCCACCTTGTACTTCAGGGAAGTGTCAGGGGAGATGTAATTTTCGTTGATGAGCTCTGTCAAGAGCACTATTAAGATTGATGTTCATTTTTGTAAGGCTGTTCTTTATGCCATCACTCCATCTTTTATGAAGTCTTCCCCTTGCTTTATACCCGTTGTAATGTTTAGTGTAGCTCGCTGTGGCAGTTAGTACCAGGGCATTCTTGTTAGGTGTCCAAACCACTTCATTTAGTGTTCTTTGATTACCTGTAAGACTGGCTTTATTCCTAGCTTTCGTGATTTCGTATTCTGTCTTTCCTTGAAACTCCTGCAACTCTTTTGAGGCATTTCATCTCTGTTGTCAAAATTTTACGTTCATTAGAGGATGTAAGTGTCCACTTTTGGCACTGAAAGCAGAGTGTTGGCCAAAAAAACAAAAAAGATTCTGATAAGATTCACTTTAGTACTTCCCCGTGTGGGTTCCGGGGCCCTATTATAGTGGGGGAAAAAAAGATTAGACCCACTGCCTACCCAAAAGCATGTCATAAGAGTTGACTAATTGGGAGCTTCCTTTGAAGTCTAAGTGCATCTGCCTGAGAAGCAAAGAACCAGTAGTGATTTATTGTTTTATTTCTTTGTTCCGTACAAAATACTAATAATAAATTTGTTGATATCTTCTTACCTCAGGGTCGTCTGGTTGTTAAGACCGCCCTGAAGCTGTTACTTGTGTTCGTGGAGTACACAGAGTCAAACACCGCCCAGCTAATCAAAGCCGTCAACACAGTCGACAGCAGACGAGGCTTGCATCCGTGGGTGAACATCATGTCCCTGCTGAGTGAGAAGGATGGGGCTGATTCTGAACTGCTGATCTACACCATGACTCTTGTTAACAAGGTAAGCAAAAGCTTGTATACAGAATTTGGCTAACTTTACCTTAATTAGCCTCCATGGTGTAGCGGCTAGATGCTCACCTGCGGGTTGCAGGTTGGAAGGTTGCGGGTTCAAGTCCTGACGGAGCTGAACTTTATTAAGAAAATTAACCTTGGTCCCCAGTCAACCCAGCCTCAAGTGAGTCCTAGGAAAAGTCCCGGGAAGTAAAGGTCACTGACATAATCTTAACAACATCACCCAAGTGCTGATAGGTCTTTAAAATGTAGGTCTTGTAGATTGTTTATGCTAGTTTAGTCTTATAGCCTTATGTTCACAGTATTATGATATGAGTATTTGCAGATAGTCTTAGTCTTATGGTAATTATTTTTAATCCCCACATAATCTCATGGCAAATATAATCCTCAAATTTTCTTATGGCAGATTTTATCCTCACATAGTCTTATGGCAGATTTTATCCTCATATTATCTTATGGCATAGTCGTGTATCTTAGTCAACATTTTTAAATAAATCCTGGCAGGTGGTAAGTGCAATACCTGATCAGGACACATTCTATGATGTGACAGACGCCCTTGAAGAGCTTGGCATGGACACCATCACACAAAGACATATGAACAAGCAAGGAGCTGACCTTGATCTTTTGACCCAGTTTCAGATTTATGAGGTGAGAACTGTTTTGATCATCCTAGTGTTATCAGGACCCCTATAGGAAACTGTTTTGTTCTTCTTCATCTTAGCGTTTACCACTGTAAGCTTTGATGGTAAGTTCTAAAACATTTTCCACTTCTGTACTTTGATCTAAAAATGACCTTGGCTCCCAGGTAGACCCAGCCATTGAGTGGGTACCGGATGAAGTCCTGGGAAGTAAAGGCAGCCGGCATGATGCTGACCACATCACCCATCTTGTGCCGATTGGTCTATACAAATATAGGTCTAGACCTATATGCCCTATACGCCCAAAGGTGTGGAAAAGGGTCCTTTACTATTTTACTTTACTTACTTTGATCTTGTTTTAGAACTTGATATTTTGCTTTGTGGGTGGGACACAAATAGTGAAATTTTAACCTGCCATTCTAGCTATGTTTTTTAAAGGCGATTTTGGGAGGCAGAGAAGACTAACATGTAACCTTCCATTCCACATATGGCTTACTGAGTCCATTTTGAGAAGCAAAGTGTAACATTTGAATCTATCATTCCACCAGTTGGTCTCCAGGATCCTGAATGACTGGCAAAGAATAGTTACAACATAGCCTGACATTCAACCCATGTTTTACTGCCACTCACAATAGAAGTAAAGAGGACAAACATGTAACTTATCATTCCACATAAGCTTAGTGAGTCCATTTTGGGAAGCAAAGAATAGTAACATCTGAACCTATCATTCCACTGAATGGTTTCTAGGGTCCCTTATGAGAGGCAAAGAATAGTAACATCTGAACCTATCATTCCACTGAATGGTTTCTAGGGTCACTTATGAGAGGCAAAGAATAGTAACAATATAATCTGACATTCCCTGTTTTACTGGGTGGAAAACAAAGAATAGTGACATTTCAACCTACCATTCCTCCATGTTTCACTGGGCGGGAAACAAAAAATAGTGACATTTTAACCTAGCATTCCACATCTGGTTTTTTTTTTAAGGTAATTTTGGGAAGCAAAGAATAGTAACTGTTTAACCTACTATTTTATCCATCGCCTATTGAGGCTGTTTTAAGATGCAAAGAATAGTAACAACATAACCTGACAGTGCATCCATGTTTTACCGGGGCATATACGAGAAACAAAGAATGGTGACATTTAAACCATTTTGACAGGCAGAGAATAATAACATTTTAACCTGTCATTTCCCCTATCTTTTAGTGGAGCCTATATAATAGACAAATAATAATATTTTAACCTGTCATTTCACCTATTTTTTAGTGGAGCCTATATAATAGACAAATAATAATATTTTAACCTGTCATTTCACCTATTTTTTAGTGGAGCCTATATAATAGACAAATAATAATATTTTAACCTGTCATTTCCCCTATCTTTTAGTGGAGCCTATATAATAGACAAATAATAATATTTTAACCTGTCATTTCCCCTATCTTTTAGTGGAGCCTATATAATAGACAAATAATAATATTTTAACCTGTCATTTCACCTATCTTGTAGTGGAGCCTATATAATAGACAAATAATAATATTTTAACCTGTCATTTCACCTATCTTTTAGTGTAGCCTATATAAGAGACACATAATAATAATATTTTAACTTACTATCCTACATGTAGCTTACTGAGGCTGTTTTGGGAGACATATAATAGTAACCTTTTAACCTACCATTCCACCTATTTCTTACTGAAGCAATTTTGTGAGACAAATAATGATAACATTTTAACCTACCATTTCACCTGTTTCTTTTTGAGGCCATTTAAAAAAACGAAGAATAATAACATTTTAACCCACTATCCCACCTATGGCTCACTGAGGCCATTTTAGGAGATGAAGTATTGTAATGTAAAGTATCATACATGTCGTAAGAGCTGAGTAAGGAGGGATCCCATCCTGTAGATGGTTTAACTACTGTAGTCAGCCAGTCTTGCACAAGTTAGTCTACAAAGAGCTTGGTGCAAGTTGGTTGACAGCCTATGCTTCATTGGAAAATTAAAAGGCAGAAAAATAATAATAATCTTTGCTTTTTACCAGTTAAATATACTTGCTTGTTTTTGTTATGCCTAACGTTTATTCAACACATTTATTTAGGCCAATTATTAGTAAATTAGTGCTTTAAAAAATAAAATAAAAATTAGCAGTACTTAATATTACTATTGTCTATTCGGCACATTTATTTTCTAAACATAGTAGCATTGCATATTTGTGTATTTACATAGATACATTGATTCATTGTGAACAGAGCAGAGCCTGCACTCATTTATTGTATGAACTCCGTCACAGTGTAATCAAATGCACCACTGCATGGGGCTTTATAAAACGAGTTAATGTTTCTTCAGTGCTACAGAACTAAACTTTTTCAAACCCTTTAAACAACAAATGTGGACCAGACCAGTAAAGAGGACAAGAAAAATGTACTGTCAGGCTGTCAGCCACATGTAACAAAAAGTAATTGTCAACAAAAGGGAAGCATTTCGGAACTCTCCTGTATTTAAAAAAATCACAAATTACTGATCTCCAGCTCCAATCTTTATTGTAGTCTAAACACACTTGTTTTTATTCATTTATGCCCCCTAAGTTTCCACTAACCATTTTTTTTTTAACCAATGTTTGGTCATTTGATAAAAGAAGATTGTAAACTATAATGTAAATTAATAAAAAAAAATTTTAACATTAATTTTTACAGAGTGCACTGCGACATGAAGATGGTGATGACTCTTCTGCTATTTCTCTAGTGGAAAGTTTAAGGTAGGAGCTAAAGAATTTTTAATTCTTGTCTTAAAACTTCAAACTGAAGTCTTGACTATGTGCTGGGTTGTAAAATGTATTATTAGATACAAGATAAATGCTACTGGTGCACATACATACAGTAACTAGTTCATAGTTCAACTTAATTTTGGCACTGTTTTAAAAGTTGTGCTTCCCTTTGGACTGTCCTTGTTGGCCCTCTCTTATCACACACAAAGTCTTCCTACATTTGGCATTGCTTTGAAAATCCTTCAATTTCTCATACTTTTGTCTTTTTATCATTATTTTTCTACAAGAATATTTTAATTTCCTCCTAGCTGACCGAATTATTATTAGTTTCTTATCCTGAAGATTTCATGGTTGGTGTAATTATAGAGCAAAACTTTAAAAAAAAACTAAGTAAAATGGTCAGTGTTGTGACGTCCTTTATTAACTGCCTATTTCTACACATTTTGTCTGTTGAAGTTTTAATTTATTTTTACTCTTCCTATAAGCTCAGTCATGGGAGGGGGCTGCGTGGTCTCAAGGCATAGTGTCCACCTCGAGTGCTAGAGGTTCCGGGTTCAATCCCCTGTAAGGGCTGGGATTTTTTCACGTGGACTTGTCTTCTAATTATTCCCCCTGGTCTCTTATTAGTGAAATCAGATGCCTGTCTGCTTTGTTGCACACGTAAAAAATCCCTTGGCAGTTGGAAATCGAAAAAAGTAGCCTAACTGCGCTGCCCGGGCAGAATTTGGAGTTAAAAATCTACCCAAATTATTTTAGGATCCTCGCCAGTGCTACAGAGCCTGTGCACTGTGCTGAGCTTCTTCGGACTCAGACTTGAGTTAGAAGAAGAACGGAGCACTTGTGGGTTACTACCCTTGTGCCATGATGTTGATCCGTTTGAACTTCAAACCTTAGTCATGGGAAGTAAAGGTAGATAAGTGGTGTTGACCCCATCACTCACAGAGTACAGTTAATTGTTTTAAAGAATTAGGCCTATCACCAGATGTCTGATTGTGCCAGTGATGTGAAAAGGGTCATTTATTGTTTACTTGCAGCCTTGGTAACATGTAGCTGATACCTGTAATTATTCCAGACTGTTTATTTTGAGCATTATTCAGTAGTTTCACATACTTATAAAATTGTTATCAAGCTTCCTACTTCCTCCGAAGCAGTGTGTTTTCATGGGAAGAATAAATGTTTGATAATAAGAAAGACCTGTAAACATTAGATTTTTCTTTTTATTAATTCCAAACAGGCGAGTGCCACGAATGAAAAGTGAAGGTCAACCAAGGAAGTCCAAACGACATGATGTGGGTCAAAAAATGACCAAACCAACAAGTGTTCCCGGCCTGCCCAGTGCACCAGAAACACCAGCTGAGGCCTTCAGGAGAAGAAGGCAACAGCAGCGAGAGTATGTGAAGGTGTCATGTTGTCATCATCTCATTATGTAGAGAGTATGTGAAGGTGTCATGTTTTTATCATCTCATTATGTAGAGAGTATGTGAAGGTGTCATGTTGTCATCATCTCATTATGTAGAGAGTATGTGAAGGTGTCATGTTGTCATCATCTCATTATGTAGAGAGTATGTGAAGGTGTCATGTTGTCATCATCTCATTATGTAGAGAGTATGTGAAGGTGTCATGTTGTCATCATCTCATTATATAGAGAGTATGTGAAGGTGACATGTTGTCATCATCTCATTATGTAGAGAGTAGGTGAAGGTGTCATGTTGTTATCATCTCCTTATGTAGAGAGTATGTGAAGGTGTCATGTTGTCATCATCTCATTATGTAGAGAGTATGTGAAGGTATCATGTTGTCATCATCTCATTACGTAGAGAGTATGTGAAGGTGTCATGTTGTCATCATCTCATTATGTAGAGAGTATGTGAAGGTGTCATGTTTTTATCATCTCATTATGTAGAGAGTATGTGAAGGTGTCATGTTGTCATCATCTCATTATGTAGAGAGTATGTGAAGGTGCCATGTTGTCATCATCTCAATATGTAGAGAGTATGTGAAGGCGTCATGTTGTCATCATCTCATTATGTAGAGAGTATGTGAAGGTGCCATGTTGTCATCATCTCATTATGTAGAGAGCATGTGAAGGTGTCATGTTGTCGTCATCTCATTATGTAGAGAGTATGTGAAGGCGTCATGTTGTCATCATCTCATTATGTAGAGAGTATGTGAAGGTGCCATGTTGTCATCATCTCATTATGTAGAGAGTATGTGAAGGCGTCATGTTGTCATCATCTCATTATGTAGAGAGTATGTGAAGGTGCCATGTTGTCATCATCTCATTATGTAGAGAGTATGTGAAGGTGTCATGTTGTCATCATCTCATTATGTAGAGAGTATGTGAAGGTGTCATGTTGTCATCATCTCATTATGTAGAGAGTATGTGAAGGTGTCATGTTGTCATCATTTCATTATGTAGAGAGTATGTGAAGGTGTCATGTTGTCATCATCTCATTATGTAGAGAGTATGTGAAGGTGCCATGTTGTCATCATCTCATTATGTGGAGAGTATGTGAAGGCGTCATGTTGTCATCATCTCATTATGTAGAGAGTATGTGAAGGTGTCATGTTGTCATCATCTCATTATGTAGAGAGTATGTGAAGGTGTCATGTTGTCATCATCTCATTATGTAGAGAGTATGTGAAGGTGTCATGTTGTCATCATTTCATTATGTAGAGAGTATGTGAAGGTGTCATGTTGTCATCATCTCATTATGTAGAGAGTATGTGAAGGTGTCATGTTGTCATCATCTCATTACGTAGAGAGTATGTGAAGGTGTCATGTTGTCATCATCTCATTATGTAGAGAGCATGTGAAGGTGTCATCATCCCACTGCTTTTCGAATGTCATAATTGGTTAGTACAGGCAGCAGTGACTCATTCCAGTTTAATCCTTTCACCCTGAGACGCTGACAAAAACCAACACTTCCGGCTGGGTTAAGTTCCAAAATGTTTCTTGTCCTACATGGCAATTGTGACATGTTTATAAGAAAGCGTCTGTGGCTGAGGCGTTGCAAACAAGCTTTGTAACGCAGGGGTGCTGGGTTCGATCTTTTTAAAGAAGTATTTTCCAAATTTAGATGAATGCATCTGGAGGGGACAAACTGATCGATCGATCAGATCCGATACTGTTGTTTGGTAGTGAAATGTCAGGACTTCATGCATTCTAGGCTACAGAAAATCGTTGGCACTATGCCAGACTCACCTAGGTGTGAAATCGGTGCTTAGAGAATATTGAATATTGAAATTAGATTAAAACTGTCCCCATGTGGGTTCAGGGGGTCGCCTTGGCATAGCAGCTAGACGCTCGAGTGCGGATCGGAAGGTCGTTGGTTCGCTCCCTGGCGGTCCCGGAGTTTTTTCAAGAATTACCTTGACTCCCAGGTCGACTCAGTCTCGAGTGGGTAAGGGGTACAATCCCTGGAAGTAAAGGCGACCGGCATGATGCTGACCACAACACCTATCTTGTGCTGATTGGTCTATAAAAGTGTAGGTCTAGCCCTGTATGCCCTATATGCCTCAAGGCGTGGAAAAGGGACCTTTACTTTTTTTTTTTTTACATGTGGACTCTTTTGTGGATGGAAGGGTGGGGGGGGGGGGAGTTTTAATTGACTCGCTGCCCCCCTTACAAGCATGTTGTATACAGCAAATAATTAAGAGAGTTTACTTTGAAGTAAAGGTGCATCTGCCTGAGATTCAAAGAACCAACAGTCTGTATACAAATACGCCAGGTTTGTAAAACAGATGTGCATGCAAAACTCAAGTTCTGGAATAAGACCAAAGTCAAGAAGTGGATGAACAATGAGAACTTTGTGCTGGAGTTTACAGTCATTAAAAGTAAAGAAGAAAAATTCTGCCATTTCTGTGGATTGAACATAGACCATTGTTTCAGTGGGAAAATGCACATAAAAGTGTGACTATGCCAAAACTTGTCCTTTCTGCAATGTTATCAGCCCAAGATTTCTTTAGTCTAAAACCTCATGACTCTTCCCTGTAGAATATTATTGCTGAAAGTTAGTTTGTAATTTTTTTTTTTAACTTTTGAATCTATAACAGAACTGTGATTATTTTGATAATGTGAATCGAAATCTACAGAATAATTTATTTTGATACATTAAAACCTATTCAGTCAGCGAGTGTTTTTATAGTTTTGTAACACGGACAGTTGTTTTCTGTAAAATTTATGTTAAAAATACATCGACACTTAGCTCAAATATTACAGTACTTAAATATATTATCAACGCTACCTATGATTGTTTGCCGGCATCTATGCTTAAGCGTTGCGAACGCGCTTCATAATGCCGGGGAACCAGGTTTGATCCCAGCTGCGGGTCTTGCGTTGGTTTCGGCAGTGGTATTGAGAAGCAGACCGTCCAGAAAGCAATGGCAAACTACATAAATTTGCCTAGAAAAACCACAACAGCCAAAAAATGCTGGGGTTGGTTCTGCAACTTTCTGTAAAGGATACGCAACTAACTATGATTTCCTGTGAAATATTACAGATGGAATCTGTACATAAATTGACTGACGTCAGGTTGGGGTATGTTGATAAAGAATATTCAGATCTTTGTGAGTTCATGTGGTATTGACACATTTATCAGGTCGTTTGGAGCACCACCACCACAAGAAGATGTTGAACTGGCAAAGAAAAATCTTCGTCTCCTGCCAGGAGAGCATGCTCCTGGAGATCACCTTGGAACTGTTGCTACTTCTCCTCAGGGTCAGTGTGGTGGATGTTGCTTTCTCTTCATCATGTCTTGATGTAGCATGGTCGTTTACTTATGTTTAGATGTAGCTAACAAATTATTGTTTTAATTAATATGTAGTAGCATCCATTTTAAAGTGGGATACAAGTTGTTTTTTATTTTTTTATTTTACTTATTTTATAGACCTGACATCATTGTTCTGAACATCTTCTTCATTCACCCTTAGAATTGTTGTAAGCATGTTGTGTTGTGGTTCACAGCTAGGCTGTGATATATTGCCTTCCTGCCTAACACCTCAGATTTCAGCAAGTCCCTAATTAGTCAACTTTTACAACATGCTTGTTAACCCCTTCAGTCCCAAGGAAGGTATCATACACTCATAGGTTTCTACCTAGAAGCCCTGTGAACGCTAGGTGTGCAGATTTAACATCTGTCTTTGCTACCTCTTGGACCTCTGATGCTAAACCCACTAGGACTGAAAAGGTTAAAGGGCAGTGGGTGTATTTTTGTTTTCTCCACCAAATTGGTGCCCAGGCATCTGCACAGGGATTGGTCCTTACAAACAGGCATTGCAGTTTGTCATCATCATCATGTAGCTGCTCCCAATTTAGTCATTCAGGTGCCATCTCAACAATGAAGGTTAGCTGCAGTGAATCACCAACACTCTCCATCGGCTGTCTTGGTTTTACACTCTCTCAGACTGCTGTTTGTCTATCTCTTGATGTTATCCTGTCGCTTGTATCATTGTATATCTCTTGATCTATGCGGCGTCCGTGGCTAATGCGTTGCGAGTCCGACTCGTAAGCCAGCATACCGCGATCGAAACCCACTTCAGGCTGCGTGGATTTTTGTCGTGGTATGGGACGTCACAGGTCGACCCAGCCTAAAATGGGTACCAGGATGGGCTGTCCTGGGAAAGTAAAGACAGCCGGCGTAATGCTGACCACATTACCCACAGAGTGCTGATGGTCTGTAAAAATATGGGATGCTCTGCCCATATGCTCGATGCGCCGAAAGGCGTGAAAAGGGAACTTTACTTTTTTTACTTTTACTATCTCTTGATCTCTTGCCTTTGACTTTTATCCCCAGTCTGATTTTTTTTTTTTAAAGAGTGTTATATCTTTTCATGAAACCAGTTTTTTTTTTCTTCTGTCTAGCAATAACTCTCTTCTCGTTCGCAGTCTCCCTAAAATCTCGGTATTTGATTGTTTTTATTTCCATAAAAAAATTACATATTCTTCTGTGTACTCAAAGAGACAATTCAATGTTCTGGTTGCTTGTTCATTGTCCAGGTTTGTGCACAACAAAGCAGGGATGAGTATACACAACACTTGAAGATTCTCATTTTAATTTGTTGTTTATCTCTCTGTAGCTCTCAGTAATTTTCACATCTTATTGAAGATATTTTTAAACTGTTTCTATTCTCTTTTTTTACTTCTGTTTCACTTCTGTCATCATCTGTTATTACACATCACTGAGAGGAGAAACTTTTTACTTGTTCTAATATGTCTGTATTCACTGTGGGGAGAAACACATCCATTTTACAGATCTGGTTTATTTATATGCAGACTGTTGGTTCCTCATCTCAGGCAGATGCACTGTGACTTCAAAGGAAGCAGCCCTGATTAGTCAAATTTTTGACATGCTTGTTAGGAGCACAGTTGATCTGTTGCCCCTCCTCTCCAAATGGGGTCCTGGAACCCACATGGAGAAAATGATAATACTTAGGAAAACACTAAGTGAACTCTTTATGTCCTGGTTATAACATGCCAGCCCACAAGTTAACCAGCTACCTGCAGTATTGAAATCCATGACACAACCTGCAATATTGAATACCATGGCACAACCTGCAGTATTGAATACCATGACACAACCTGCAATATTGAATACCGTGACACAACCTGCAGTATTGAAAACCATGGCACAACCTGCAGTATTGAATACCATGACACAACCTGCAGTATTAAATACCATGACACAACCTGCAATATTGAATACCGTGACACAACCTGCAATATTGAATACCATGACACAACCTGCAATATTGAATACCGTGACACAACCTGCAGTATTGAATACCATGACAACCTGCAGTATTGAATACCATGACACAACCTGCAATATTGAATACCATGACACAACCTGCAATATTGAATACCATGACACAACCTGCAATATTGAATACCGTGACACAACCTGCAGTATTGAAAACCATGGCACAACCTGCAGTATTGAATACCATGACACAACCTGCAGTATTAAATACCATGACACAACCTGCAATATTGAATACCGTGACACAACCTGCAATATTGAATACCATGACACAACCTGCAATATTGAATACCGTGACACAACCTGCAATATTGAATACCATGACACAACCTGCAGTATTGAATACCATGACACAACTTCTGGAAATGAAAGGCACTTGGGCACAGTTGAACTCATCTAGTACATCAAGCATTGTACTCTTATGGGCCATAAGTGGAGTTGTGGCATAGATGGGGGAAGGCTCTGTCTCTCTCCGCAAAATGGCTCTCTGCCTGCCGAGAGCATCACACAAAGCATGCACTCCATAGACTCTAGCGACAATCCATAGGGGTTTCTGTAAAGCTTGCACATGCGAACCAAATAATGAAATGAACCCACATCCTTCAGAGTGTGAGGCAAATGGTTTGACCATGGAGGCCCCATGTGTTCAGGATCCTCGCCAGTACTACAGAGCCTGTGCACTTTGCTGAGCTTCTTTGTACTCAGACTTGAGTTAGAAGAACGGAGTACTTTTTAGTTACTACCTGTGTGCCATGATGTTGATCCGTTGTTCAATACCTAATCTTCTTTCCCCCCCCCCCCCCCTCCCTCCACAAAAAGGATCCCAGAATCTTCTTAGGGAATTGAGACACTTGATGATGGTGATTATGATGATAATGTTATGATAAAGTGTCCCAGATATGATTTGCTTGATATAAATGTTGTTTGGTTGTTTGGTGTGTTGTGCTTGATACTAACCTGCATGCTGTCTCGTGATCCCCGGTCCAGCAGGTACCAGAACTAACCGTCGAGAAAGGCAGCGCTCGTTCATTGAAGAGAAGAAAGATTTGTTAGCTGTTGTAAATAGAAATACTTACCTCAAAGATGGGCTGTCACAGTCTGTATCATCTGAATCTCTAGATTGTGGCTTTAAACAACATCATGTCATTGTTCCTACTCCTTTCACTGTGGCTGACACATGCAGACCTGCCCACACAGGTTCATCACCTCGTTCTTCAGCATCAGCGCCATCTGTATTAACTAGTTTACCATCAAACTACAGTCAGGAAAATGGTGACTTTGGTTACATGGATCTTCCAGAATTTAATAAACTAGCTGAGGAATCTGAAGAAATTGTGGTCAGACATTTACATATCCCAGACAATGAACAGTCCTATCAGGCAGAAAAACTGCAGTTGCTGCTCGAGGATAAGGCTGGCATCAGTCACCGCCAGATATTTTGTTCACCATCATCTGTCAGTAGTATCTGCGGCTCTGCTGCTGCTAAGTTGACCAGCTCTGTGATCCGTTTTGATCATGCTGTTCAACATATAGACCGCAGATCGCCACACAGTAATACGTGTGAAGTTGCTACAGATCCTCAATCACTCGTTTTGGCATCTGTCATCAGCAGTCAGGGTTATAGACAACACCCACATTTTCAACACCATCTACACCAATCTAGTCATGAGCAGCATGTTGAAGAGGATCAGCAGGGTGTGGTGGACTTACAAGGCTTCACGGGGGCTTTCAGTGAGGAGTGTCTTTCTGGTAAGGTGTCAAGTTATATGTGAAACTGTACACAAAAAGACTGTGTAGGTGGGTAGGTAGTCAGTAGTCGAGGTTTTAGCTTGACCTTATACAGGTCACCCCCTTTTTTCTCAGTTCCTGTGCCAGTGAAAATCACACAGAATGCTGCTTCTTGCCCCAGTAAAAAACAAAAACTAGTGAATAAAGAATAAAGAACACTTATGTATAACTTCTACTTCTTCTTTGCATTCACCTGCTGTAATCTCTGGCGGAAGGTTCTGGTTTTTCCTCAACTTCTGGGCAAGTCCTGTTGCAAAAACTGAGTGTTGCGTGCACATCCGTTTTACAGGTCTGAGTCATTTGCATGCAGACTGTTGGTTCCTTGCAATGTACTCTGACTTCAAAGGAAGCTCCCAATTAGTCGACTCTTACGACATGCTTTTGGGTAGACAGTGGGTCTATTCTTGTTTTCCACACAATGGGGGCCCCGGAAACCATACTGGGAACTTATGTATATACGTAAAGGACCCTTTTCTACGCCTTCAAGCGTATTTGGCATATAGCGCTAGACCATAATTTTGTAAACCAATTGGTAACCCAAGGCTGAGTCAACCTGAAAGCAAAAGTAATTTCTGAAAAAAAAAAAGTGCTGTTCTGTCGGACTTGAACCCACAGCCTTCTGATCTGCAGGCGAGCACAAATAAAATGTGAAAGTATCTTATACTAAATACTAATGTAAGGGTATTGCATGATCTGCATGTGTGTTTGTTTGTATAAGTTTTTTTTTTTTTTATGGCTTTCATTTAATCAGAAATCTTAGTTAAACGTTGTGTATATCTGTTTTAGAGTTATATCAAGCTGGCTTCAATACATATATACTTTATTTACCAGAGCAGGATTGTATTAAGTTTTATCAAAGTAAAAATGATACACAATTTACCTCAATAAAATAATACCAAGTTCACTGCTTTAAACAGGCTGTAAACTCCAACAGAAAGTTCTGGACTTTGGTCTTGTTCTAGAACTTGAGCTTTGCTTGCACATCTGTTTTACAGATGGACTTTTGTTGTATGCAGACTGTTGTTTTCTTGTCTCTCAGGCGGATGCACTGTGACCTCAAAGAAAACATCCCTAATTAGTCACCTTTTACTACATGCTTGTATTTTCCACATCTCCTTGTGAGATGCAATTTTTCTTTATTTTGAAGCCCAATCCTGGCTCTTGACAGGAGCCTCAATAGCCCGACCAGAATATGGTCCAATGGGTGAACATGGTTTCCGGGACATCTCCACGGAGGATTCTCATCCACATGGTGGCACTTTGTGTCATCAGGTGTTAATCGCTTGTGCTGGGGTAAAAATCTACTACTATTCTACTACATGCTTGTTGGGGGAAGTGGGTCTGTTCATTCCTCCCCCAACCCTCCAAAAGAACCCTGCAGCCTGCACAGATATATACTGTTGGACTGCAGATTTTTACCATTGTACTCATTTTACAATGGTAAAGTATGGTCCTGTGGCTTAGAAGATACTAAGTGCATTTCACAAAGCTTGATGTACCAGGGTATTATATATTATCCAGTGTAGAAATGGGCATTCTCTTGGCTATGGGATAACACAAGAGTCATTCCGTGGAAGAGGTGGGGCGAAACCATGTATTCTCAAAGAAAGCAATGGAGGCACATAGCTCCATTTGTAAAGGAAGCAAATGTTCCTTCCTTTCATCACAGAAAAGAATAATGTGAACTTTACTTCAGTATAATGAGGCAAAGTTTACTACCATAAAATTATACACAGTTAAACCAAATTAAATTACAAACAAGGGAAAGATAGGTAAAATTAAATGGGCAAATAGTTATCCGGTTTCTCTTAATGGTATCCCACTCCAAGATGTGGAGTCTTACACATTTTTGGGCAGTAATGTAAATAAAGATCAGGGATAGAGATATTGAAATATGAATACAAAACAAAGCAAGAGGAGCTGTCATGGTGCTATGAAATTTTTGGAAATTGACAGAAATTTCAATTGGTGTTAAACTTAAATTTGTTATTCTAATCTCAATTCAGTACTGTTGAATGAAGCAGAAACATGGAGAACAACTAAAACAGTTAACTAGTAAACTACGAACATTCATTACTGGTGATTTTGCAGAATAAAGGGAATTTTTTAGAATGATATAAACACTAATGGTGAGCTTTAAGAGAGATCTACAAAGTTCCACCGAACCAAAAGACAGTAAAATAGATGCTGGCATTGAATAGGACACACATTGAGAAAACCTGAGAACAGTATAACTAGAATTTCTTTGCACTGGAACCTACAGGAGCATAGGCATAAAAGCAGACCCACAGAAAAAAAAAACATGGTGAAGGTAAGAAGACAGCGAATTCAAAAGGATGGGGAAGACATGGGGAGAGCTGCATACGATAGCAAAGGATAGAGCGACCTAAGTAAGCTGATTAAGGCCCTAGGCTCTGTTGATGGATAGAAGGCAAAAGAAGAAGAAATTACAAATAGTTTACTGCGGTTCGCCAAACCTTATACCCTGATGTTCAGGCTTAAGACCCATTATGTCCCACGTTATTCTAAAAGGTGTAAAAATAAGCAGCAAAACATTTTTTTTTTTTTAACCACAGTTTCTGTATACAAATTTCACATTACTTATGTGGTAGTATTCTCATTAAAAATTGTTAACATTGCTTGAAATTGTTTGACGGTTTGTTTTGCTTTACACTCACTATTTAAAGTATTCTGTAGCTAGTTTTTAGCACCATACCCGTTTTTTTAATGGTTATTTGATTTCACCTTATTCCTACAGTATTCAGTTAGTCTAATATTTTTCTATACAATTTCTTTCTGCACTTTCAATATGTGATTATGTATTTTTTTTTTTTTTTTTTATATGGTTTTATTTAAATTTGCTTATATTCTTGTAATACGAAACTAGTATATCTTCATATGTTCTATTTTTTTTTCTCTCCTTTAACTTCAATGTGTGGTTATTAGTAAACAGGCCAACAGATTTCCTGAGATGTTTACAGAAAAATGATTGACATTCTTTGTACAGCCAAACTGAGTAACCCAGATGTTTAGAAAAAGCTGAAGACTTGAAGACAGCACAAATTTCAGAAAGAGGCAGTCATCATTATTTGGCCATGTTATGAGAAGAAACAAACTAGAGCGTGTTGTGATAACTGGACAGATTTATGGAAAGATAGATACAGGAAGGAACTATGATAAGATTATTGACAGCTTTTTGTCATGGCACAGAAGGGTTTTAGCACAATGACCTGATACATGCTGATGAAGATTGCAAGTTGTGAAAGGTCATGATTGCTGGAGATCACAATCTGTGAAAAGTCATGATCACTGGAGTTCACAAGTTGTGAAAAGTCATGATCGCTGGAGATCACAAGTTGTGAAAAGTCATGATTGCTGGAGATCACAAGTTGTGAAAAGTTATGATTGCTGGAGATCACAAGTTGTGAAAAGTCATAATTGCTGGAGATCACAAATTGTAAAACGTCATGATCGCCGAAGATCACAAGTTGTGAAAAATCATGATCGCTGGAGATCACAAGTTTTGAAAAGTCATGATGGCCTGTGCCAATTGTCAGAGAACTTCATCATGAAGAAATTATGGGTGTTCTTATAATGCATATTTATTTGGTTTAAATTAGCCTCTTTATCTTTGGTTTAAATTAGCCTCTTTATCTTTGGTTTAAATTAGCCTCTTTATCTTTGGTTTAAATTAGTCTCTTTATCTTTGGTTTAAATTAGCCTCTTTATCTTTGGTTTGAATTAGTCTCTTTATCTTTGGTTTAAATTAGCCTCTTTATCTTTGGTTTAAATTAGTCTCTTTATCTTTGGTTTAAATTAGCCTCTTTATCTTTGGTTTAAATTAGCCTCTTTATCTTTGGTTTAAATTAGTCTCTTTATCTTTGGTTTAAATTAGCCTCTTTATCTTTGGTTTAAATTAGCCTCTTTATCTTTGGTTTAAATTAGTCTCTTTATCTTTGGTTTAAATTAGCCTCTTTATCTTTGGTTTAAATTAGTCTCTTTATCTTTGGTTTAAATTAATCTCTTTATCTTTGCTTTAAATTAGCCTCTTTATCTTTGGTTTAAATTAGTCTCTTTATCTTTGGTTTAAATTAGTCTCTTTTACCTCCAGTTTCAGGAAAAGGTCCACCTTCAGGAAGTTACAATGAATCTGGCTACCACAGTTTTGCTGAAGCTCAATTGGACCCACATTCTTTGGAAGCCAGAAACAATGCTCTGAATGAGGAAAGAAATGACTCAACACCAACTTCTAGTAACCAGAGATGGCGAGCGTACAAGCAGGGTCATCAGAATGAGGACATAAAATCTCCGCAGAAGATTGCAGAAAATGGCCTGCCAGGAGCAGGGGAAGGTCAAGTTAAGGACATTCTGAACAAATTGAAAAATGAAGAGATGAAGTTGCCGAAGGAAGCCTTGAAGCCAGCAGGTGACACAAGCGGCCTTATTTCAAGTGCCAGAGATAATCTCAATCGTCAGTTTGCTGCCAAGCTTGCCCCAGCCCCAGTTCCTGCAGCAGAAGCAGAGAAGAAGACTGAAAGTGATCTTCAGTGGGATAGAATTCAGAGAAGACTCAAGAGGCAGTTAAAGATAAAAGATATGGACTTCACCGACCTGCAAGATGAAGATGATGAGGATGTTCTGTCCCCACCCAAAATCATTTTTGACGGATCTCTTGGTCCACCACCCCCACCAGGAGGTTTACCCCCACCGCCTCCACCTGGAGGGGTTCCCCTTCCGCCTCCACCTCCACCAGGGGGTCTGGGACCTCCTCCCCCACCTCCACCAGGGGGTCTGACCCCACCTCCTCCACCACCTGGTGGCCGCATGACTGCCACTGTTCAGAACCCCTCCTCACTGCCCCCACCTCCTGGTGCTAATCTGAAGAAGAATAAGAAGACTGTCCGCCTACACTGGAGAGCTCTGCCAACAGACAACCCACACCCAGCCACAAAGGGAGAAATGATCTGGAAGCAGCTAGTGCCTGTTACCATTGATACAGAAAAACTGGAGCATTTGTTTGAGACCAAAACCTCAGAACTGAAGACTAAGGCAAGTTTTATCAGTGTTTTCTCTTGTTGTACTTGTATTATTATTTTCTTCTGCAACACATAATTGTGATATTGTTTCCTTGTTTCAGACTTTGATTATTCTTTTTCATTCCTGTCAACTTGAGCTAAGAGCTATAATTTGTAGTATTTGTACATTTTCTTCAGTGTAAATAAAGTTAAACAACATTGTTCTCAGTAATTGCATTTTCTTCTTGCAAATCTTTTTTTTTTTTTTAACTTACTCTTTAAAAGTATTATATGCACATAACAAAACAAAAAAAGTCAGTCTCTGACTAAAAATTTCAATATCAGGAGTTCATTATACATTACTCTAAATCTGTGCAGCAAAATTTTCGGTGTCCATTAAATTAAAATGGCTTTTGAGAAGTTAATAGACAAACTTGCAACTGGGTTACATTAACCCATACTTAGTGCAGTAGAAGTTTATAGAAAATTTTTAAACTGGATAACATTAACCCATACATAGTGCAGTAGAAGTTAATAGAAAAACTTGGAACTGGGTTACATTAACCCATACATAGTGCTGTAGAAGTTAATTGAAAAACTTGGAACTGGGTTACATTAACCCATACATAGTGCAGTAGAAGTTAATAGAAAAACTTGAAACTGGGTTACATTAACCCATACATAGTGCAGTAGAAGTTAATTGAAAAATTTGAAACTGGGTTACATTAACCCATGCATAGTGCAGTAGAAGTTAATAGAAACACTTGGAACTGGGTTACATTAACCCATACATAGAGCAGTAGAAGTTAATAGAAAAACTTGGAACTGGGTTACATTAACCCATACATAGTGCAGTAGAAGTTAATAGAAAAACTTGGCACTGGGTTACATTAACCCATGCATAGTGCAGTAGAAGTTAATTGAAAAACTTGAAACTGGGTTACATTAACCCATGCATAGAGCAGTAGAAGTTAATTGAAAAACTTGAAACTGGGTTACATTAACAATTAAACAGACAGACACCAAGTAATTTCAGTGATGTGTGAGATAGCTACTAAATATTTTGTATGTTCCTCGGTACAAGACAAAGTTTGACACAGAGAAGATGTGTCTCAGTGTTGTTGTAGATGGATCAAATATCAGTTGAATCCGCGTCTGACAAAGCAATCTTTGGTTATAAAAAATAATTTGGAGACTGGATTAAACTGTATGGATATAATAGTTGTTAACTAGAGAAAGTTGACAGGTATGTTTTCTGGTATGAAAATACTTATGTTATAATATACTAACATTATACATTAACTCTTAAGTTTATAGCTTACTACAACTACAACTGAGTTACTGAATCTTTCACTTCTGCTTCATCTCATGTACAACTTGGATGCTACTAATGCTAGTTTCTGGCTTCAGTATTGTTACTCTCTTGTGGTCTTTGTGCAGTACTAAACTATTCTTCTAGTCTTTTGCACAGTTTACAACAGTTTACAAACACAGTGCATCATTATGTCTTGGTAAGTAACAGTAAAATCAATAAAGGACCCCTATCAACCAACTGCAAGAAAATAAGCCAAGACAAATGGATGTACACACAAAACTCAGGCCCTGGCACAAAACAAAACCAAGTCGAAATAGACGAACCAGGACTTTCCACTGGAACCTTCAGCCGGTGAACAAAGAAGTTCCAACTCGGGCATTTGAAACATCACACTTCTTGAATGACGTGACAACAGTCAACTACCATTGTATAAGATGCTCACTGTTTTTTAGATCCTGTATTTTTGGAAAATGAGCGTGACTTACTTGGGGAAGTACAGTAATGACTGATAAAGGTAAAGTTAGTCCCATAGCAGATACTGTCATTGGGATGTTAAGTGTTGGGTCTTCACATATTAAAGACATTGACATACAAAGGGAGGCAATCAGTTCCTTTCTTCATTGACTTTTCCCTGGAATATCTTTCTTTGAAATTAACCGTTACTTCTATCTTCCCATTAATCAAGCTGAGGCCATTTTATCATTTTTCTACCATGGCCGTATCTATAAATCCCTGTAGTTCTTTTTGACTTGCCGCGATCAAGACGGTGTCGTCGGATAATGAAGGTTGTTTTTTTTTACAATCACCAGCCACAATTCCTGGCATATCCATGATGGATCTCATTATATATTCTTATTCTTCTTCTGCATTTATCTGAAGATGTAATTGCTTTGTGTCCGTTTACAGCATGGCTGCGATATTTGCACCTTTCGGCCAACACATCTGACTTCTGCGGGCATTTGTTGACCGGGTTAGCCCTCCCGGCTCATTATATATTCAGTGAATAATGAAAACAAATCATTTAACTAATGAGAGCTTCCATAAGCCATAAGGGGAAAATGGTGTGAGAAACATGTCTGTACCAACCATGAATAAAGCATGTGAAATGCTCACACAGGAAGTCCCTTATAAATCTACATTCCAAACTACTGCTATTATGTATGTGCTATCACAACATCAAAATTTACACACATGCCACTTTGCACAGTATTAATCAGCT